GGGCACGCCTGCTCGTGTTGGTCTTGCCCGGTGCATCTCGCTCAACAACAATCCTCATGGCAGCGAGCATGGGGTCCGATGTGTTGCCAGTGTCGCCTACGGAGGTAGCGGTAGTTGGTGGTGGTTGTGACGGACGTGGCGATGCTGTCGGTTGAGCCAGCGGTGGCAGAGTTGGCGTCTTCGTCGATACTCGACAGCGGCTGGACCGGCAGGGAGCTGCTGTCGTCATCGTTGCCCGGGCTGGACGGAACGCTCGATCTCGAAGACCGGTGCAATGCTGCCCTGAAGCGCTTCAGAAGGGGTCTGTCCATGCGTGCAGCGTGCGCAGCGTGACGTTCGCAAGACAAGAAATGTGAAGACTCCAATTTACGTTGTGGATGGCCCACAAGGGGCGTCGTTTCCGAGATTGGCAATGGATTATGTCGTCATCGCACTGCAGCAAAAGGCAATACATCCAAAGTACTTTTTCATCCTTCTCGCATTCTAGCCTGATCTCGTGGACACGTTTAAATGCACACGCGAGCTCCGTGGAAGAGAAGTACATGAGTTCTCTCGGGGGATGAAGGAAAGGCACTGTCGGGTTGAAGTGTTGGTTTGGTGGGAGAGTCTACTCAACGGCTGCTACCGGCAAACCTCTGCACTACGTGATAGAGCGTGGATGAGAGAAAATTGAGGACCACTACAACAATATAGGGTGCGTCTTCGACATGCTGTAGGAAGGGACACCTCTGTTGTCTGGAGTACATGCGGCATCATTGCAAATCCTGGGACTGGAGATTTTTCCCCCAAGAATTCGGCATACTATGTACAGCAGCAGCAGTCTATGCATGCATAAATTCATGTGCCATTGACTCTACTGGACAAAGTATGGACCGTCCCATGGACCGTACCATGGGACGGCAAAGGATACATGTAAAATGGCTGATGGCTAAACTCCTCTTCCGTTCACAGCAGATTGCCGACTCTGCAAATCACAATACGTTTGAGTTGCCATATTCAGGAGACCCTGGGAGCTTAAAGCAGCCACGATACATGTACGTACAGTAGAGCATGATAATATATGGCAATTCTACCGAAAGCGAGGGAAGATGCGTGATGCTGCTGCCTCGTTTGTGTTCTTCGAAATCGTTATCGTACAAGTACCGGGAAAGGAGGTACACATATTATTGCCAACATTAGGTGAAGGAAATTGGACGGCGTGCAGGCACCAAACTTATTGTACTGCTACCCATGGTCGCTGCATGGAAGGCCGCAAAGTTCAGCATCATCAGACGAGGAAAGAAGGAAAGTCCTGCTTGAAGTGCGGGGGGGGTGTTGCTCAATACGCCAGAGCCGGAGACTGCTGGTGTACATATACTCAACGGCCGAGTGCTGGTATTAGACTGCTGTTATTTGGTGAACGGGTTCACCCACAGGTTTTTAGAAAGTAAACATAACCTCACAGAAAGACTACCCGTTCGAGATATAACCAACCTCAGTCGAAAGGGATATTGAATATTTTCAGTAAGTGGATTGAAACCGACTGGAGACTGGGCTTAGTTTGAGTTTGTGTAAGCCTTACACTGAGTTATCAGTGATGCCAGTTGGTGCTAAGAACAAAAACATCTGTATAGATAGGTGGATACATGGTTAACACATCCCCTGTAGTTTTCTACTGGGTCGACGACAGAACTATCGGGGAAAAGCTCTCCGTTGTGTCGTGTGTTACAGAATGTGGCCTTCCCTAGGAACACGGCGAAGTGTCGTTTGACAACTTGCTGCTTTTAGAAGTACTTCGTACTGTTGTTTTGTTGAGACTGATTTGAATCTAGACTACAGCAGTAAACTGCTACTATTGAATTTTTTTAATGTTGTTGAATTTCAACAGTTGGAGTTGTAGATCTGAGCAGCTGTTCCCCGCTCATTTGTTTTTGTAGGAGAAAACTTTGCAGCAACGGACATGCATTGTTTTAACCATGGGTTGGTTCGGTGGCTCTTCCTCTCAAGCGGGTTGACAAGGGCGCAGCGCGAGCTATCCTCCAGAGGGCTACATAGTTGGCTCAACAACAGTCACTACGCCGGGAGCGGCGCGAGCGGTTGGCGATGTCGAAGTCGAAGCAGAGTCGTCCGATCCACATCGCCCCCGCTCGGAGAAAAAAGAGGAAAACAATTGAAACAACAGCTAAGTAGACCAAACCGCCGATGAGCCCAGACAAAACTCTTGCTGCAAGGGACTATCGGCTGCACCTGCCGTCACGACTCCAGACCTACAGATGTAGATAATGCGATTGCGACATGGGGCGAACCCGACTGGTAGGGGACCAGAAGCTGATCTCACGCACAGACTCGTCCGCCATGTCCAATTCTCCTGACACAGCAGGCTCCGGGGTAGGAATGACAGGGTCGGTCGAGTCGTCTTTTTCGTCGGTGGCGGCGTCGTTGTCCATGTCTGGCAACCGCTGAACGGGAAGAGCGTCGTTGTTGCCGGTGGTGCAGGTCAAGGTGGAGGTGGAGGTCAAGGAAATTATCTGAGTGCACACAAAGGAAAGTTTGCTTTTGATTGCTGATTGATGGGTGGACAAAATGCTATTGCGTCGGAGATAGATGTGAGGGTGGGGTCGGTGGGGCCAAAGGAAAAGGGCGAGTGATGAAGTATATCGCGAGGATGCGTTATCGTTGTGGTAGAAACGTGGGGTAATCTCCCCGTACTGACGTGTCTTTTGAGATATTAGAACATTAGAAGATAGAAAATGTGTTTTTCATAGTTTCTCCGCACCGATGTATTTTTGAAGTTGTCGAAGTGGAACGTACACGATATGGGAGAAGCGGCGGGGAAAGTCATTGTCGGTAATCTGACGACTTGTTTGCAAATTGCAGAATAATGATGTTGTGAAGAAAAGTTATATGCGGAGGAATGTGAGCGTCAAGCTTCACCACCGCCACCACCACCACCACCACCTCCTCGACCTCGACCTTAACCTCAACCTCCACCACCGGCAACAACAACGCTCTTCCCGTTCACCAGCTGCCCGACGAAAATGACGACACGGTCGGTGTTCTGTCTCCTTCCTCGAAGCCCGTCGATTATGGAGCATTGGACACGACGGACGAGTCTGACTCGACCACGGCAGCGTTAAGTTTCACCTCCACCACGTCCTCGACCTCAACCTCAACCTCCACCACCGGCAACAACGACGCCGCCACAGACGAGAAACACGACACAATCGGTGTTCTGGCTCCTCCGTTGTCGAAGCCAGTCGTTCTGCAACCGAACAAGGACAACGGGGTTGGCTCGCCTATGGCCATCACTGCCGCCCCTGAGCACGTTGGCTGCTTCACGTTGAGCCGGATGGAGGTGTTCCTTCGCAACCGGATCACCGACAACCCCAGAGCTTCGACACTCGTGCGGGTGAACAGCAAGGCCGACATGACCCCCCAGGTAAGTTGGTGGACCCGTCAACTCAGCGACCTATCCCCGACTGCGCTGCATGCTGGGTCCCACCTAGACACGCCGTGCAGTGCTCGCGAGGAATCAAGCTGTTCCTAGAATTTCAAGCTGTTGGTCGTGGGTTGATATCGTGAGGTTTTTCCGCGCGATCAAAGAGTTTTACTTACACTTGACCCTGCTGTCTTTTCACACATTACGCCTCTGTTGTCTTCGCTGACTGGCCCTGCTCCCCGTTCCCCCATCTCTCTCAGGAGTGTGTTGGTATCTGTGCCGGTGGGGGAAGCGTTGTATTCGCGGTCAGCAGATGCGACCTGTTCACCAGCTTGTCGGAAGCAGACTCTGCCGGTTTCCTCGGCGGCAGGGGTAATGGCGTGTGCAATTCCCCGTGCACCGGCGACGCTTCATAAACGTGCGGAGGACATGCCGCGTTTGACGCGTACAAGATAGTCCCCAGGGGAGACGACGAGAACACCGACGGCATCGCCTTGGGCAACTCACCTACTACCACAGATACCGCCACAACCTCCCCAACTACCGGTAAGGTGAGAGATGCCGGGGTTGTACTGTAGTTGATTCACTGTCTGTTGGGTGTGTATGCGTGGGCAAAGGTCGGTCTGTACAAAGCTGCCAGCATAGTGCGTAGAGCACGGGGAAGGTATGCATACCATCACATGGTGCTGTTCTTGTCCCTTTCCTCTTCTTCCTTGAACTACATGTGTTGTCGGTTGGCAACCGCACATTCACCGCCCTAGGGTAAAGCCCCTCGTCTACTCTCGTGTACAAATGCGTCAGTCTTTGCTAAGGGCGTTGTAGATCTCGAGGCCAACACAAACCACGGCCGATGTTTCCTGCAGCAAGAAAACGCTCGCTCCTTGACCGCACGTGTTTTTCTCGACCTCACCCCCCGACACGCTGCACTGACGTTTCGGCGTGGACGTGCTTTTATCCTTCTTGCCTTTAATGTACGTGTGCTTTGGACGTTGCTTGTCTGAGACCTACCAAGTTTGGAGAAGTCCAGCGATTGGGACGTGGGTTCTAAGTTTCCCGCCTACGGGCAAGCTCTTTGTATTTGTTCCTCGCAACGTTGTGAGGTTATTCGCTCCGTCTTTTTCTTCTCAACGTGCCGGTTTTTATGTTCAAGCACCACCAGGATCACTTGACATATCTGACGCCTCAAGAGTATTTTTTTGGCAGGTGTACAACCTTGGTTGCGAAGTAAATCAATGATGCGCCGCCTCAGCAGTGGTGTGTAGTACAGGAGGTGCTCTAGCGCCAACCAGCAGCACGCAACAGAACAATTGTTGTCGGAAAAAAGTGACAATGGAAAGCGAACAATACCGACAGGTTAAATTAACACGTGAACCAAGATGACCTGATTCGGAAAACCGGTTTTCTTCGCTAGCTCATCGCCCCCTTATCCGCCTTGTTTCGCCCCGATATTGTTTTTGTCGTGATGGCGGCGTGATGTAAATTGTTGGTTGAACAGTACAAGGACTCAGCATGGGGGCAAAGCCAACAACCGACCGCATGCCTCACCAGGAAATGTTCCGTTGTTCCCAGGGACGCTGAGTTTGCGTCTTTTTTCGTGGCACCTCTATATTCCGAGGAAATTGGTTGATGTCGATTGATATGCCAACATTCTCTCCGCACGCCCCGTCGATTCCCGACTCGGGTACCCCCGTCCTTGCTAACAGAAGGAAAGAAAGCGTTAAACGATGCACCCAGTGACGTCGCCGGCACCGGCACCGCCGACCTCAGCGATGACGACGACAGCAGCAGCAGCAGCAGCAGCAGCAGTGCCAACGACGACGACACAGCGATCAGCAACGACGACGGCACAGCGATCAGCAACGGCAGTAGCAGCAGCGACGACGACGTCGACAGCAGCAGCAAGGATGACGTTAACAACGACGGCAACAACAACAACAACAAAAACGACGACGACGGCACAGCGATCAGCAACAACAGCAGCAGCGACGATGACGACGGCAGCAGCAGCGGCGGCAGTGGCAACAGCAGCAAGGACGACGACGACGGCAACGACAACGACAACGACAACGACAATAACTTCAACAACAACAACGACAACAACAACGGCAACGGCAACGGCAACGGCAACGGCAACGACAACGATGACCCAGGCCCGGAAGACTTCACCGCCGGCGACGAAACATCCAACACCGAAGCGGTGAGGAACAAACTGCAGAAACTTGGATACCTCTCTGAATATGGCAAATCATTCTCTACAGCTAGTTGCGGTGTTGCGGCCCAGTGGGTCAGTAGCGGGCTTGGTGAACTTGAGCTTGAGGCATTTTTCAACTGTGCGGTAGAGACAACTTGCAATCTGGATGTCCAACATGTCGACATGATGGAAGATTTGTGCTTCATAGACGCGGCGGTGACAGATGAGGTAGCCTCAAGGTCAGGATTCCAACATCCACTCACTCACCCACCCACACACCACACACACGCGCGCTGCGGGGGCGTTGCACCGCTCTGTTCAGGACGGATAAGTTGCCCCACCTCCACAGACCCGCCGAAAAGCGTGTTAATGATCCTCCTCCAAACCCTCGTCGTACAGATTCGCCAGGGGACTGTGAACCTCAAGACCTTCGTCCGATGGTGGAAGCCGCGCCAGCTATCCCTCGTGGACGGGTTCGTCCTGAAGCTGTGCAAGATGACGCGTGCAGGACAGGAGAAGTCTTGCCAGGTACGTACCTTGCTACATACCACCGCCCTTAGTTTGCTTCCCCCCATGTGTTGCACCCAACAAGCTCAATTGAGGTTAAAACCAAACGAATCATTTTATTGCTCTCATGGAGCTCGCATCAGGCGTTCATGCAGTAGAGACACGTGAGGTAGAATCAAAGCGCGACTTGTGTTTGATGCTCACCAAACTGTCCCTCCCTCCCTCTCAACAAACTCCATGGGAACACAGGCCATGTGTCCGGAAAGCCTGTCTGGGCAGTCAAGAGCACACACATAAGTGTGGAATGCTGTGCGAAAAGTCACCCCCATGGCTTGCGCAGCAGTCAAGTATCGCACCTCTCTCGTCCTGTTTTTCCCTGTCGTTTTTCATAACCCTCTCTGCGTGATATTCTCGTTTGACGTGCCACCTGCCAACTCTTAGGACATGCCCTTGGATAGTTCAACCAAGTGGTACGGGTCGAGGGTAAGCACGGGAGGCCCAGGAAGGACGGACGCTTCGTGTTCCGTGTTTCGACAGGAACTCCTAGAGGCCTGAAGAACAAAGCGGTGAGTACAGGGAATTTTCCATGCGGTACACCTCGTTAAGTCTCGGACACTAATCTTGTTTGCAATCGGTAAATGGTCGCGGTGTTTCTGACAAAGTGGGTGCAGGATGCTGCGCTCTCTCGCGTGCTCTCGAGGCAGCTAGCGTGAGATGCTCTTGTCGTTTGATGCTCGCCCTCGTCGTTTGATGCCAACGACGAACATTACCAGTTGCGACCAAGTACTGTTCCGTTTCCGGACAAGGCGTGTCGATGTTCCTTGGAAAGTATATACCACCGTTTGTATTCCTACAAGAGGCATCCGTGGGCAAGGTTAACGCTGTCAACCGTGTTTGCCGTAGATGATTCACGCCAGAGCTACAGTAGCTCATGCTGCCAAAAACATCTATAGCCGTTTGCTCTCTGTCACGGCCGCTGTTCGTCCTGGCATTGATGGTCCTTTTCCCATCAACCGGGTGTACAACTCACACGCCCTTGTCTCGCTCTGCTGTTTTTGCTAACGATAACTTCCTTCACAGCGGGAGCTCAATGCGGGAAGCTCGGCAGCCTTGGACATGTGGATGTCGGTCCTAGAAGGTGTCACAACGCGTGACACCCAAAAGGAGGCCTTATTTTCCGGGGTAAGCACTTGTTGTTGTTGTTGTTATTTAATTATCACAGTGTACGTGTTTGGGGGCGGCGGCGGCTTGTCAATGCTGTCATTGTCGCCGTTGGTGTTGGCGTTGCAGTTGCCGCTCTTCACTGTTGAGGACATTATTCGCTTCTGTGTCTGTATTCTAGCCGGTAGCCGACGGTACGGTAGAGTTCTTCCTGCCACGGCACGGAAGCGTACGGTAACCATAGTAGCTTTACGTTCCACGAAGCACCTACACTAACCATGCATTCCGTTCCATGCACATATCCAACTCTGCAACATGCACTCGTGCGACACGCAACTATTGCAGGACACTCCGCGGGCTGGCAACCCGGGTGACTCTTTCAAGTTCTCCATGGAGCTCGGGCCGTTCACGTTCGCCCCCACGCCCGCCTTCCGTGGCGACAGCATTTCTGTCGATGACTACCCACTCATCCCGGGTCAAATCTTGTCGACGGCACCAGTCGTCGATTCCGCTAACTTGGAGGTCACGGAGGTCGGGGACCTCGTTTTGCGGCGGGGCGACATCCCTGCCTACCCCAGTGACCACAAACCGCTGTGGGCCCACCGTGTTACGGGGTCGGTCGGAGGTACTGCCAACTGGAGGCTAGGGTGTGCTCTGGAGGTATGGTGGCACAGGGCCACGAACGGTGGCGAAGGCATGGGCGTCCCCGTCCACCTGGTCGTGAAGAACGGCAGGTGGAGGGTCGGCCGGGGGTGGATGTGCACCCTGGGCCGAATCCCCAGCGTGGCGGGAGGGTGGAGGGTCCACCTCCCGTGGGACTCCCACGGGAAGACCCTCAAGGCGGCGTTGCTTCAGCTCTGCGACGGCAGTGTCGTGATGGCCACCGGAGAGGGGGATGTGGCGTGGAGCTCTTCGCCCTCGCCGTGAAGGGGGATGGGTTGCCGTCAGTGGTTTCTTCCTGAGTCATTCGACGATCGGTCGCGTGTGTAAATAGGTGCCCGTTCTTGCAACGGAGCGCCGATGAAGGCAGGAGGGGCGCACTGATGAAAATCATTTTTCTTTTGTGAATTGAGGACAACAGCCCTTCCGTTGCCCCGTCGTGCACGTTTGGTTTGTTTGAGTTCTGCAAGCGGGCGTGGCGTGGTGTTCAGTCTTGACGGTTCTGTTTGTGGCCTTGAGAGTTCGTTTTGTGTATGCATCCATCAGAATGTTGGGCTTAAGGTTGGGGGTCTCGACTTGCTCGTCCGCGTGGTGGTTGCCCTTGCGCTGTTTTGCATTCGCCCCCACATGGAACAGTTTCAGTTGTTTCAAGGGTGTATTTTCTTGTTGTTCGGTGTGAGCTCGGGAATGTCTGTCATGCGTGATTCCCATGTTTAGTCGACAAGGATGGTGGCGTTGATTTTGCACGGGGGGAAGGGCCTTCCGCCTCACGTTTGTGTTTTTCATTGATGTCGGGCTGTAAGGTCGCACTAATTTTATCGTTGTTTCGGTGGAGTATAGCATTTGCGCTGAATATGCTGAGCTGGACGTTTGTCTGCCACGGCATGACACAACTAGGAAGGGAGGTGTTTGAGTGGTACACCTATATTTGAATAATCTATATGGTAATTTTTTTGACACCCTACAATATTGTGGATGATGTTCGGCGACTGGAAGGCCGCCACAGATACATGTAGGCTGCATCTATCTCGACACCTGAACAAGCACGACCGAGCGGGGAAACATGTGTTGTCAAGCAACCTGATACCATTAATCTGGAGGTGTTGCACCTGCAGAACGTACCACCCAGGATATTCATTGTTGTCCGGCTCGCTGCTCGTAGGTGTCGTTTGTCGTCTACCTACCAGAGTCCGTCCTGACTCCCGACCTCTATTCAGGATCTATTCCCTCTCTGTCGACTGTTTGTACACTTTGTCAAGCAGGAAATCATAGAGGGAAGTAGTGTAGTGCCGCACACCGCCTTCGCCACCCACGTACAGATTGAGGCACCAAGAATCCAAAGACAAAGTCACTCGCTTCGAAGAGGACCTCGTTCCTAGGTGACGCATGCAGGAAGACAGAGGGCGAGGAGAGACCCCAAAACTGAAACAACATGCATGAGGGCGAGAGCAGAGCCCACCGATCGTGTCTTTTGGAACCGGACATGCTATCAACTGCGATGAATGGTTTGATTCATTGAAAAGAAAGCATTGCCGTTGCAAGCAGCAGCGTGTCGATCCTGGCCCCACCCAAGTCGCTCAGTTTTTTTCCAAGGTCCATACACGTTGCAAAGTGAGTTTTTCTCTCGCTTCCGTTCCTGGCCTGGGCGGAAAGCGCTACAGTAGTTCGTGTGTACACAGAGGGGAGAGTGCTGCACTCTTCTCGCATTGATTACCCCAGGAGGGGTTGGTAGGAGGCCTCAGGGAGAGGAACCCTTGCGTGTGACCACGGGTTGGAGGAAACGGCACAATTTCTCTTAGCGCTGATTAGTCTAAGTGACGACAAGACAAAAGAAAAACACACCCTAACCGTTTCAACAGGATCTCGGGCAGTGGCACCAGACGCGAAACACATGTTAAAACTCCAAAATCTCTACTATTGTTGTAATTGGGGATGTCATCCCCCTGACACCTCGTCTGAGTGAGAGGGAGCGCGAAAAATACTGCGATGTAAACATAGACGTACATACATGCTTCATGAGATGGTTCACAGCAGGACCCACCAGCGGTGGCTACACTGCTGTAGCTGTTGCTGCTGTGGCTGCTGCTGCTGCCACTATACTGCCCCTGCTTCTGCTGCTCAGTGGCCAGGATTGGTGGGATATGCCTATTGTGAGGCGGCAAGCTGTGAACGAGCCGTGAAATATGAAAGTATCTTGTCATGATATGCACGCATGAATGTCAAAACGGATTGAATGATCATTATGCTGTGTAATCCAGCAGTCTATTCACCATGAACCACGTCGCCACAAGGAATCTGCGGAAGGATCCAACCAAGTCGGACGTGCGATGATACTCTGGCTTGCGTGGTTTCATTCGACACGGTAGATTACGCATGTACCTATGGTTGAACACAGAAGGAGGAGGTAGCCGAGAGTTACAATGTCCAGCCTAAACAACCTACTTTGGTGAGGTGGAACTGACCAATATTCTATTACTACTGCTGTAGTTGGTGCAGCCTGCTCATCATCCCATAGGTGATGCCCGTGGCTAGCTCGTGCAGCCGAAGCCAGAAATTTCAATATCTCGGAGGGCATGTAGGTGATGTCCGTCCGTCCGCCCGCCCGCCCGCCCGTTCCACACCATAAACCACAAAACAACATAAACTAATCGATTTAATGGCAACTTTTTTTCCGCTGCTCGGAAACGAAACGACTATTTCTTCCCCAACTCACTCACAAGCAAGCATTAGTTTCATTCGTGGTGGAGATAAAGGTGCCTGTTAAGGGCATCAGCTGTTAGGACTGGAACCAGCTTCCTCTGGGGCACCACTTACTCTTTCCTGATTTTTTGTGTTCTGGCCCGTTTCCCCGCCCCACCGGGCTTCCCACATTATCGTGAAAATAGATTCACTGTTGTAACAGTGAATGTCACTGTTATAATAGTGAACTGTCACTCTTACAACGGTGAGGAGCACTCTTATGAAAGTTAGGAGCACTCTTATAACAGCGATAGACACTTTCATAAGAGTGACGTCACCTGTATAAAAGAGATAGTCACTTTTACAACAGTGATATTGACTGTTATTAACGTCACTCCCTCCCACAACGAAAGTGAAAGCCACACTCACTTTGACAGACACACCCACAACAGTGAAATCATTATTACGAGAGTGATTTCAAGGTTAATAGTGAATGATACTTTTATGAAAGTGACTCGCACGTCACTTTCATAAAAGCGCAGAACATGTCCACGATACTATCATGTGCATGACTTTCGTCACTTTTACGAAAGTGAAGACAAGTGACGATTTCTTCACTTTCATTAAAGTGCATGATCAGTGCACGGTACATATCACGTGCGTGACTTTCGCCACCTTTACGCAAGTGACGTCATATGAACATAGGTGTTCCTTTGATGAAAGTTTTGCTTGTGTGCTGGCGCTAGGGCTAATGCTTAGCTCGCTGCCGACAATCTCCGAAGGCACGCCTTGAAGTTGTTTTTGCTCTTGTGTTATTATTTGCTCTTGTGTTATTAGGTTGTGGTCTCTGCGAAGGTGAAAGGGTCCCCGCAATACCAGATGGTCATACCACTACCCCAACTGCGTATCCCCGAAATCCATCCCAGACCAGTATCTTTACCCAAGTACCACAAACAGCCCCTGCTTGGATAAAGGTACTGTCGTCCAAGCGAATTACATGCATGCACCGTTCCAGGAACGGCAACTTGAAACATACAAAAATATGCGGTCAAAGATATACCTCATACGTCAAGAGCCTACTTACCTTACCCCCTTGAGAAAACTCAATCCGTCAAAAAACCAGAAATATTCTTTGGAAAATATCCAACAAGATTCAACATTACAGAGTTGCGTCTTGCAGAACAACGGACAATACCGGAAACGCGTCATCAAATCAGAACCAACAACCTCAAACAACACCGTACCTTTCAACCTCTTGGTCAGCACATAACCATTATTCGGAAAGCACATAGGCCCCAACCATTTACTAATCAGCACATACCAAACCCTTCCCTCAATACAACATCCAGAAATACCCAGGACTGCAAAGACAGAATAACGTCCAAAAACCCAACACAAAAATGACGCTCGCAACTGCCGTTGCATTTATATCAATAATTCTCATTCCATCGCCCCCCCCGCTCCGTGGGATTTAAATAAAGCCACTAGAAAACGGGAACAGACAATATATAGTGCAGACATCTGCCGTTATCCTAAGGCGATTCAACACCTTGTCAACGCAAAACATGAAAAGATCGTACTGCTACAAGGGGCATGGCATATGATACTTGTATGCAGTACGCCAACACAAAAGAAACCTTCTCGCTCTTGTTGGCACCCGGCGCCGCACCCGCCACGGCGCGTCAACTTGCGTCAGGTCGACATTGCCTGCTGTCGCTGTCGATGCCGCCGCGCCTTTTGTGACGCGGCGCTTCGGCCTAGCGGCCACCGGCGCTGCCGCTGTCATGTTGGCCTTCTTGATAGCACCCGGCGCGGCGCCCGCCACGGCGGAGACGCCGCCGTCATCTTGCGTCAGGTCGACGTTGCCTGCTGTCACTGTCGATGCCGCCGCGCCATTTGTGGCGCGGCGCTTCGGCCTCGAGGCCCCCGGCGCTGCCGCTCTCTTCTTGCCCGTCTTGGAAGCACCCGGCGCGGTCGGCTTCGCGGCCCCCGGAAGCCCCGGTGTGCCGCCGCGCTTCTCGGCAACTGCCGACCTCGTTGGCCTCTTGGGCGCCGGGGTCGCGGTTGAGGGGACCACTTCTTGTTCTTTTTCGGCGTCGGAGGAAGCCCCGCGGTGGTATCAAATGTGTTGTCGGCGGGTGTAGTGTGCCTTTATCCCTTTACGTCTTGCTGGCGGTATGTGCGAACCTAGGTGAACCAGCCGTACACACATGTGAGAATCGTTCTGACTGCACAGGGGGTTCGTCTGATGTATGCGGTGCACTACACGTACGGGCTTTCCCACCCGAGGATCGCCATATCGCAATTACCTTCGTCACGTCATGCGCCTGGAACCTGTACCTGAAGTTCCATATTTCTATGATGCAATGATGCGCTTGGGCAAGTATGTGCTCGTCCCATCGTTCCGTTTCTTGATGAGAGCTGCAGAACTGCTCCAAAATCAAAGTCATTTTTACCGCCTGGCTGTTAAAAGTGACTTGTACGACAGTCGTTTCACTTTTATACAAGTCCCCAGACTGTTAGTAACGTGCACCCACCTCACTTTCATATGAGTCAGCTGACTGTTATAACAGTGTGTGAACTGACACCTCACTTTCATAAGGGTCAGCTGACAGTCGTTTCACTTTTATAAAAGTCCCCAAACTGACTGTTAGTAATGTGCACCCACCTCTCACTTTGATCAGAGTCAGCCGACTGTTATAACAGTGTGTGAACTGACACCTCACTTTCATAAGAGTCGGCTGACTCTTATGAAAGTGAGTGAACTGACTGTCGTAACAGTGAAATACCGATGACTGTTATCGGAGTGAGCCGACTGTTATAACAGTCAATTCACTGTTATAACAGTCAAATATTCACTTGTATACAGTGAATCCATATATAAGATTGTGTGGGAGCCCGGCCCCACCTCCCTACATAACCCGGCGTTCTCCGCCGACTCACCCCCAGCGCAAAAAAATCAACCACCGATCGTTCTCTCCCTGTATGCACCACACGACCGCCTCAGGAACCCTTCATCGGATCTTCCGGCCAACGGCCACTGTCTGCAGGGGATGGCGCCGTCGCCGTTGCCGTTCACGGTACATGTTACCGCCACCGACCGTCGTTCATCGTCCCCCGATGACGGCAATGTCGGCAGCCTCGCCCGCGATCTGGATCGCGTTTTCGTCGTCCCCCGCGGTTCCACCGCCGTTCTCGTTGCAAGGGGTGCGCGGTCCGATCCCTCCCAGCGTCACCGCAAGCACTGTAGTGGGCGGCGGCGGCGGCGGCGGCAGAGCCGGTGGTGGTGCGGACCATGGCACGGTCAAGCAGCATCAACGTGCGACGCCCGGCCACCAGGCAGTGACTGACGACGCGCTAGAATGTCCGAGTGGGGCTGCAGTAGCTGTGCTACCAGTGCTGGCCTCATCGACGGGCAGCAGCAACAATAGATCCAGCTGCCCCTCAAAGACCAAGTGCCTAGTGCCCCCGCTACACCTCACAACGGCAAGGGAGGCGGCGGCGGCATCGACCGCGGTTGTGACCCGAGAAACCGGTCGACCGCATCACTAGCTACGCTACGCTTATCGACGCGTGCGGCGGTCGATGCCCTCACCGCTGGCGGCGGCGCTTGCTGTGGCTGCGGCGGCGGCGGTGGCGGCGGCGGCGGCGGTATCGGTACGCCCGACGGCGACCATGCGACCGCCACAGGCGTGGGCCAAGACCCGGACGGTAACGGTCGTGGTGAGAGCAGCGTCGGCGAAGGCATCACTCAGTTGGTCGTGGCGGGTCAGCAGCAGATGTAGAGAGGTGGCCTTGGTGTCTCGAGGCTACTGGAAAGTCAACACAACCTGGTTGGCTCGCCACGAGGAGTTCCCGAGATTTTTTGTGGGCTGCCCAGTTTAGCCACATCGCGATCGCTGATTGGTTAGTGATAAGGCACCGATCGGTACACGCTTTCAAGGGGGACCGCACGACGCCCAGATATGAATAGCAGAGGACTTCATACAATCTTCGGAAAGCCCACTCTGTGTAATAATTGAATGTTGGAGGGAGAAAATATCGGCGAATGTTTTCGTTAGGGGAGGGAGGGGGCAGCTAGCGCTGTTGTTGACCAGATCCCCAATAATATTATGGCCCTCAGAAAGGGATAGCAGTTAGCGGGGTGAATTGAGTTTTCCAGGGGGCGGTGGGGTGACAGGTAGACTACGACAAAGCAAGGAGATTTCTCACCGCATCGGCTTCAAGTCAAGCATGAAGGTACGGGCAGTAACTGGAGACAAACCTGAAGGTCCTTGAGAAGACGGCGTTAAATCGGCCCGTGAACAAATAGAGCGCGAACTCAACGACAAAATCGGGGAGAAAGATTGGCGCCGCGTGCGGTTGGGAGCTACAGGTACGTGTTCAGTGTGCCCCCGGCCTGTTCATGTGTGATCCCCGTCTCCTTGAACGTTGATCCGATGTGCTCTTTTTTGTATCCGTTTCACTCTGGTCTGACTTCATCTTTGGTTGCTTTTTCTTTCCTTTGGTGGTGCGCACACAGGTGGGGATTCGGCGAAATGGGCGCCTTGGGTCACGGCAAGGACGTTGACTGCAACTTGCCCAAAAAGGTCGACACGGTAAAACGCGGCATCGACACGGTCCGTTCGTGTATTGTCTTGTTCGCCGTGATAGTGTAGTTGTGGACATTCAGTGATGAAGTGAACAGTTATTCATCGTCATCTTTGATGCTGGTTTTGGGTGTCCGTGGACCCAAGTGCAACACACACATAATGAGAGGGACGGTGCACTCCCATCGACGAAATCTATCAATGAATATATTGTAGGCGCTTCGTCGTCCTTTTGTTGTCGTTTATGCGTTGTTTCTCGATCATCATGACTTCCGTACGGTGTCATCATGTTGTTAATGGTGTGGTATGCATTTTGGTTGTGTTCACTATTAACTGACAAGACGGGCGGTCAATTATTGTTTCCTCTCCGCTGCTCCCATATTTGCAAACACACGCCAAACCCGTTTACTCCCCTAAGATGATACCTTGGTATTGAAACACAAGCTACTGGCGGTGACAACAATGGTGTCGACAGTCGCAGCGAGTCGAGGGCATTGCAGCCAAAATTGGAAGAACCACGCAAACACCGGTTGATACTGAAACAGTGAATCACGGCGTACACGACTCTTCCATGAAAATTCGTTCTTTATGTTTCTGTAAGATGCAGTAGTCAAATCCTCGCAAACATGTTTTAGAATTTTGCCCCATCTTGTAAACACCAGCACGAAACGCCCCCAGAAAACAAACCCCGACAATGAATGCCTGTTCTTGTATCTGCAGTCCGCCTGCAAACAAAGAAAGGTAGGTTGCGAACGCCGAAGGCCTCGTTGAAACCGAACCCAACTCTCTCTCGTCTACATGTAGACAAAAAATACATGGAAACGTCAGCCTGCATTACCAGACTCCATTGAATGCATGCACGGAACCAGAAATAGATGAAATTCTGCCAAGCATTCGCACTCCTCTTGCCGCTACAGAACGAATGCTACGTGTACCAAAAAAATGCATTGTGAAACATTCGCCACATACACGCACGTACCGCGACACAACAAGAAAAAGGACTTCAAACGGAAAGCAAAGTAAACAGAGAAACAAAGTCTCTAACCGCGCCTCGGTCATTCGTGGGAAAGACAGGGCGAGGTGAGAGAAGAAGTGAAAAATATTTTTAACACACAAGCAAAATCTGCAGTGCTCGGCAAAAAAACAATCATCACCAAGGCATAGAAGTACACGTAATAACTATTCGTGCTGGGGCAATCCAACAAATAACCTCGCAGTAACAAGGCAGTGACGGAGACGTACATCCGGGAAGGAGTAGCGACGGAAGATGTGAAACAACATCTATCTGCAAAAAAATCCCAATATAGCTTCCAAAGCTATATATATATGTACTACTTGCTTTGTCGGCCTAGAACAATACTAGCCTGACGATGCCCTGACGTACTACGCAATGAAACGAATACTTGTATATTTTAGGGATATCTCCCCATCTTGAAGAAACCCCACCAATCATTCCCGCCTCTGCCCCATCTTGCAGAAAAAAATATTGTTAGACCGCCAGATGGCTCACAAAATACTCCATACGATATCGTGGGGATCTGAAATTGCATTAACGGCCAAGGACAATTGCCGCACCACACCTGCACTCCCGCCCGGGTGGTACTGAGCCGATCACAACAAATGTTCGTGCCGGGTGAGTAGCGGGGGAAAACGACGGCACACGCCAAAGGATTGACAAGAGGGATAACAAACACAGCGGGTGCCGATTGGGATAATCTTGAACTTGCTGACAACTTCGGAACACGTACACAAACATGTTCACCACGGCGAGTCTCAAGACCAACGTGGAGAGGAATGAAGGAGAATCAGCAGTGCTTGTTCGACATCATGAGGCAATGCCGAACATGACGCGAAGCTTGTGAAAGGATAGTGAAGACTTCGCTGAAAATGAACCTTACGAATACTAAGGAAAACAGTGATAAGCTGCGCTTATCCCAAAGTGGCGCCATGTAGACAGTCGGCGAGGCTCAGTTGCACCACGCGAACAGAAGCGGAGGGTGAGGCGGCCGAACACGTGAACGGTCCGGATCCAATGCGTTTTTCGTTTGAGGTGGCGATATTCATTCGATTCAGAACGGTTGCACCGGTGAAGGATTGGCGAAGCACTTCACGTCGCCCTCATACCTACGGGTGCGAACGAAACAGTGTAGCAGTAGAGGCGCGGGAAGGGTGGGACAGGAGAGAGGATTGAACTTCATTGGCTGTCTTGGCCAACTCCTGGTTCAGTATTCTCTCACATGTGTGACAAGAAGTATATGAATGGCAGAAACGTGGAGTGTTTTCTGTGCCAAAGAAATCACGTACATGCAGACTTTGTTAAAGTGCTAAGGTTTGTGATCGTCTTTCTCTCTACCCACCCATCTACATATATGTCCGTCTATCAATCTCTCGCCCATTTCTTACCACTTATGAGCCGGGCTCTTGGCGTTGAACTCGAGGTATCCATGAACGGCGCTCTGCACCGTCCGAATGCTCCGCACGTCCACCTCCAGACTGTCTTGGTACTCCGCACGTTTCTATTTTTCACCGATATGAGTGGGGGGGCTTGTGACCTCAGTTATCACAGGTGGATTCTGAAGAGGACGGGCTGGAGAGGCGGGACAATGTTGGGACGAGACAGGCGCTTGCAGAAAAGCCTGACCAAAGGCGATACATTTCTAGCGTTTTGTCGCTGGGGGGGGGTCGGCCCACACGGCTCGCTCCTTAATTCCGGTTGGAATGGCTCAGCGTACGGGGGATAAAGAAGCGATGTTGTGTCACTGACCTGTAGGTAGACTTTGACGGCGGCTTTGTAGAGAGCTTGGTCCAATTGCGTCTGTTGCTTTATCTGAGCCAGCACCTGCTCAGTGTATTCGTGTATGGAGGGGCTACACCAAATGAGTGGCGAAAGGACAGAGGAACTTAACATGACTGACTGTTTTGCGTTCCCAACAACAACATACCTCAAAGCCAACTCCGGGACACTGTCTGCGCAATGAAGCTTCCCGCTGACCCATCAAATTTCTTGGGTTTCTTGGGGAGGCCTCGTGTTATTGCGCCTTTGCGGTTGGTTGCATTTCAGCTTAGGGACTACGGTACCAGGAGGCAAGGTCGCACGATGCTTTTCGCCCGAAGAAGTTGCTGGCTTCACTGTGCCTCCAGGCAAGGACGCACAAACGACCGAATGAAGAAGAAAGCGGCAACGGGCGTACCTAGGCAGGCCATAAACTACAATATGCTCATGCACACCAAGGAAAAGCGCAGTGCCAATACAACACGGAACCACCGATCCAATTGTGAGGGTCGGACGGCCGGGGGAAAGGCGTTTACCCCCCTCCTCTCTTGTTGCTGGGAATGGGGCCATTGAATGTTCGTTCTGCATTCATCCATGTCACATTGGACGGCCGAAACCCGCGCACTTCCGTCTGAGCGTGTTTTGGGGGTGTGTCAAAGTGGAACTCCTCAAATGTCCCCCGCAAAAACAACGGTTGAAATCGAAACGAACCAACAAACGCGGCTGGCCGCAGTTTCACCTCTGGCGGGAGGTCGCGAGTCTTGGGCACGTTGGTGAGCTTTTTCCCGTCGTACCGGGAAACCCCCGCCTTGGTCTCGATCACCCTGAACGATCGTCAAGAGCGGTGCACGGCCACGACAAAGAACGGCCAACAACAAGCAGTACAACGGCATCTTTGTTTGCGTTTTTTCTTGCGGGTTAGCACACAACCACGCACCGAATAATCCCTACTTGGGGCGCTAGATTCACCCTTGCGAGATTGAGAGGAGGTACTCTATGGTCGTTTCACCGTCGTCAAACGTCAGTCGAGGGGGGGGGGGACTGTGCTCGATCGAAACGGACGGCGCTTGGATACAGCAGTACCGGGCTCGCAGTTGAGAAACAGAGGAGTTGAGAAACAGAGGCTCACATATACACACGAAAATTTCGAAAACAAGCCAAAGAAAGCTGAGGATCCTACACTAAACTCTTTAAAAACAACCTGCGCTCGACCACGCGACGAAATACCTAGCTGAGCCTCTACCCGATTGTAGCGTTTCTTATGTGCGGGGCGCGTGCTGAAAGTAGTGTGCATACCTGCAGAAGGTCATGTCGATCGGCCTCCAGTTGAACATGCGCATGAAAACGGCCAGCCCTTCCTCGAAGTGCTCGGTGAGCAACACCTGCCGCAGCGAGAGGCGGCGACCAATCGGTTGAAGCGTCAATTCACGAGAAACACGGATCGGGGCCAACCACGTGCGGGGGAACGAGAGAGTCAGAAAGCCGATTTTTCGTGTCTCCTCCGAGAAGTGCGTCGACCCGCGCGCGGTTCACGCGACTTGCAGAAGTCTTCCCACACACCGCGCCCGTCCTCCTCCCACCATATCTGCACCTGGTGCGGCACGCTACCATGACCTGACGAGAGGGGGCTTTGGCCACATCCACATAGATAGTAGGAAGCAGGCGCAACAACCGCGGCCAGCGATGTCGCAGGGGAAAAGATACGCCATGAGAAAATCCCCCCAATGTACAACTTAACTTGACCCCGTGAGGGCTGAATCGAAGTCAGCACGCGCCTTGACACTCGGCAAAAGATCGAAGAAAGTCGTGAAGCTCACCATGGCAAAGCCCTGGAGGTCGTCTCTTATGAAGCTCTCGAGCTCGGTAGCGGTCCTGATGCCGAACTCGGCGCAGAGCGGGTTGTGCAGCAGCTTGAAGCCGTGCCACCCGGCCTTCCCGGCCCGCCGCCGCTGGAATACGCCGCGGTACCGGGGGTCACCGGGCTTCGCCGACAGCTCGAAGTATTCCGCGATCGAAAGCTTTTCGCACGCGGGGTATGAATACGATGAGCGACCAAATGGTCGGCGGAAAAGGAGGAGTGCGTTCGACGGAATCGAAAATCAATGTTGAAGCGAAACACTTTTTTTCGCGGGTGTTCTTTGTGGTCGTTCAACTAGTTGCTATGGCTGATTCGGGGGGGGAGTCGTGTTGTTGTGGGGTTTCTGGGAAGTACTGGAGGAGCGCCTTTCTTCGTGGACTACATGTACATTACTCCCTGCCTCCAGGTTCTCCGGGACCGACAGGTCAAATTTTTGCTCGCATATCAAAAAATTATGTAGATACCTTGAGCATGACACTTAACTGTCTACTTTCCAACGCCTTGTTTTTCAATTCTTGTTGGTTTTTCGGAAGACAAGTGGTACGCTTTGTTTTGGAGGGAAAAAAAAAGTAGATTCTACAGACATATTCGTCATGAGGACGACTTGTAACGGGGGGGGTGCAGTCTTGACCGTGACACGCCAAGTGCGTTTGTGGTGAAGACACGCCTTGTTCGATCGCCATTGTGACACTGGCGGTCAGAGGTTCAGGCAGCACAAATCACAACCTACCTGTGAGCGTTGGGTGGCCGGGATTGACCTTGAACACGTAGTATTTTGTCTTTGATTCAAACTCGCCATGCTGTAGTTGGAATAACGCCACTGCTACCCGAGATGCGGGATTTCCTACACACTTTGGCGTTCAAACTCCCCGCCCCGGGTTGCCGAACCTACCCGCAACCTATCTCTCTGGCCACCTTTCGGCGACCAGCCCCCCTTTTTGAACCCACCCCTGTCTCCGGCTGCAGGAAGTAGTAGTAGTAGCTCATGTAGTGCGCCACCGGCTCCCGCATGACCGTGACGAGGTTCACTTTCGTGGGGTCCCGCATGATCTTCTTGTAGGCGGCCTTCGCCTCGGCCCATCCCCCCTCGTAGAAGCCGTCCCACGCGTGGTGGTAGTGCATCAGGTCCACGGGCTTGCCGGAATCCTCGATCTGCGCTTGTTCGGTTGTCACACAAGGCAAGACGTGGTAATGGTGTGCGTGTCTGTGATTCGTCTATAGCAAGCAACCGACACGATGGGACATGCCGTGTGCGTGTGTCGGTCGTGTGTGTTGAGCCTCCAACTTTGATCTAGTCTAGTCTAAAGTCGATCGTGATTGTCGATCGTGTTTGCTGATCCTCCGACGTGGGGTTGGCGTTCTCGAAGCAACGCAGCATGGGTACGCAGGACCGCCATGCCGGTGTAATATCCGTTCAAGCGTTGAGAAAGGCACGATCGATTATTGTTTTTTGCTGGGCGAGAGGATTCTTCTTCTCTCGTTGGGGTCAGATCACATGCATCTTGGGGCGAGATATGTGCTTCACGGAGATGATCGTACCAAAGGAACATGGGAAACCTGTATCGTTAGAGAGCGCTTGTGATATCGTTCACCGTTCCTAAGTGGTGGACTCATCATCTTTGGAGCTTGTTTGTCCTGACGGAAGGAGTTCAACTCAACATCAACTACAGTAACGTCCCTCTTGGAGCGGGGTGGTAGTTGGTTCTTGGCAAGTCCTAAGCCCTCCTGGGGGAAGCAAACCTCCTACCAGGTATACACATGAGCGCATATGCGGCAGGATACCCACACGGTTTGAGACGTGCCGGATCTGCAGGGCCTCGCTACAACAAATCTGCCTTTGGGTCCTCGCCTGTCTCACGGCCTCTGGCAGCTCGATGGAGGACTGGTGGCCGTGGAAGTGGGCGACGTTGAGATCGTGGCGCTTGCCGTAGCGGTACAAGAGGGTGGCCGCGGTGGTCGACGCCGTCTTGTGCGTCTTCACGAAAGCAATGTTGCACGTCTGTTCATTGTTTTTTTACCATTTGAGGGATGTGGCCGTGCGCTGAGCGTGAAATTCCTTGCTGTTGGTTAAAGGGTGCGCAAAGGCAGGAGCGACATGCAACCCACAGCAATCGGCATAAATCGGACACTGCCCGTGCACCCTGTCTCCAGGAGCGATACCGTTTAGGTGGTTGTATAAGGCTTATTCGTCAATTCGACAAATAAAAACGTTGCGGTCACGATCGATGTGGCGTACGGTGTTGCCTGTACCTTCCTTCCGGCGTCTTACAACACTCTCGTTCATTTCCAACGTCGTGTCACCTGGTTCTTGGTGGCAGCCACGCTCTCGTCGACCAGTAGGTTCAGGTACTCGCGCATGGCGTTACCGGCCATAAAGCTCTCCACCCTACCTTCCAGCCGAAACCTGACCATACCCGCCTCTTCTTGTCTGCCATCGCCAACCGCGTTAACGGCAGAAGACCCATCAGTTGGAAGTTTTTCACCACTAGCGGCCGTAGCTGTCCCTTCGTGGTAACCCGCCGCAACGACAGAAGACCCATCAGTGGGAAGTTTTTCAACACTAGCGGCCGTAGCTGTCCCTTCGTGGTAACCCGCGGCAACGACAGAAGACCCATCAGTGGGAAGTTTTTCACCGCTAGCGGCCGTAGCTATCCCTTCGTGGTACCCCGTAGTGTCGTTGTTGCTGTTGGTCTGGTTTGATGGCTTTGGTCCCCTTGGTGACGACGTTGTGCGGTTGTGCTGCTGTTGGGCGCCATGAAGTAAAGTATGGACATCGTCATCCGGCTCGTGCTTTCGCAGCCGACGACGAATCGGGGGCCGATCCTCCTCCTCCTCATGCTCGCCCTCCTCTCGCTCATCCTCCTCCCCCACGCCCACCTTCTTCTGCCCCGCGTCCCCCTCCTTCAGCGAGTAGCCCGCAGCACCAGAATACGAGTCTTTGAGGGCCCCATCCACCCTGCTTCCGTCATTAGACCCATCGACAGTTGAATCCGTCGCAGTGCCTGCTCGAGGAAAGGGTCTCGCGATCCCCCGAACAACGGTGAAGAAACTGTTGTCGTCGTAGCCGAGCTCTTCCGTACTCTGTTGTCCTGGCGCTGGTGTTAACTTTCGTGGTTTCTCTCCGGCCGTCTCTTCGCTGGCGGCTACTTCTGCTGCACGGGCGGTGGGGCCCGCTGACGGTAGGCCTACAAAAAATGTACGGCTGGTGCTACTTCGGCCGCTGCCGCTGCCGCTGCCGCTATTGCTGCTGTGGCTGTGGCTGAAAGGGGGATTGCCCCGGAGACACATGAACAAAACGAACGCCTGGACGAACAGAAGGCCCACGAAACTGGCATATCGGTAGGCGCCTGCCATTGTCTTGACTTGTCCGTCGCGCTTCTGCTCCCTCCTGCTGCTCTGTCGCCGAGAGGGTCCCGGGTTTCGAGGTGAAGGAGACTCTCAATGCTGCGCCGGCTGGACTGATCGCGAGGGTATACTCGGTGTCCCGGGGTAAGCTGCCGTTCCTGCTGATGGAAGGTACAGAGGAGGTTGTGTTATTGCAGTGCCAAAGGGTCGAATGCACATGCATACTACAGAACCCAATGGGGAGCGCATGCATTCAAGCATGCACCGTGTCATTGTACGACGCAAACCGTATGTTGTGTTGTTGTTGTTGCTGTTGTTGTCTTCATATCTGGTGTGTGCATTTATTTTTGATGTTGCTGTCTTCACATAATATACTTTCCGATCTCTGCTCGGAACATTCCCACGTCAGCCCTGCTCCATCTGACAAGGACCGACGCCTTCCGCGGTCACAAGCTACATTAACAACCTACCGTTTGAATGCATAGGGCAAATCAAGAGCAACAGCTGTGTCTAATCTGCGTGTAAGACCACTGACGCCGTCCAACTTATTTGAGTCGAGGAGGGTTCTTCGGGGCATTCCTTGTATTCTCGCATCGTACAGAATTACTGTAGCACAGTTTTACGACTACACACAGCAGCAGTCCAGCGTCTTTACAGCTGGGAGGTCGTTTGGTCGTAAGACTACAACAGCAGTGTAGACATGTAGACTACAACAGGATACAGTGTACTGTAGCCATCCGATACTCCTTGGTGACTCTTGGCTGTGCTTGTACTGCATTCACCGGGGTGTTGTACGGAGTATCTGTCTCTGGAAGGTAAACCTGTTCTGAAGGTGGCAGCCACCGCATGTATGTATAGCCATGCTTGTACCCAAGAACTGCAGTAACAACTGTAAACGGAATGTAGACTACAATACCGGGTGCCAAGAGTCATTTGTCTGGCTGGAGTATGTTCGGGATGTCCTGGGGGTAGGTGAAAAACTGATTTGCACCTGTGATTCGAGGGCTATTGTCCTCAAGTGCATCGGGCAGGGAAATCTATCTGCCGTCCAGACGCGGACGTGCGTGATGTCCTCACCTACACTGTACACTGCTGTATACCCAGCACGTCCCTCGGCTTAGATGCTGCTGTAGAGCCGTTGGGACTGCTGTGGAACGCGGCAAACGCCCGGTGGTCCCCACGTTGCATCGGTTGATGGGCAGACGCTTCTTTGGTCCGGGTTAAGCAGTGAGGGGTCCGCAAGATACGCGGTCTTGTTGTCTGATGGATGATGTTGGTGTAAAGATCGCGCGGTACAGCATCCCCGAGCCAAAAGAAAAAAAAATTAACAGTGTGAAACGGTCGCGGTGGGGGGGTCATGCAGCAGGGTTCACAAAAAATCATATGGCGATGCCCCCCGGAGGTTGTGGAGTTTTTCGCTGGTCCGGATTCGACAACAGATCATGCACTACCACATCGAAAGACGGACCTATTCCCCTCGTTCTTCTGCTCTATCCTTGAGCTACTTGAAATATGTCCATCCCTTTTCCCGCACCGACCAACTAACGAAACAAAAAAAGGAGTACAAGTATAACAGCTGCGATGTGGAATAATGGTATCGCACTACACGTACTGCAGTGATGACACTTTCTTTTATTTGCCGCTGTGTTTTTTCGCAATCCGCTCTCCCTCTCTCTCTCTCTCTGGCAACTTTGGTCTGGTAATTGATCGGCTAAAATATGGCTGTAGTCTATGCGTAGACGAGTTTTTGTCCCGTTTCCTTGCCAGAAGATATCCCTTCCTTTGGTGACATTGTGCAAGGTATCACACCCCCTGGACGGATTATTTTATTTTTTTTTATGTTTCTTAATATGACACAACGAAACCATCTCTATCATAGAAAAGAGTCTGAGACAGATTAGCAATGGATTCATAGCGTCAGAAAGTACCTGTATGTCTACGATTTCCCAGACAGCATATAGGGACATCTCCCCTGCGGGTAACAGGCTCAACAAGACAGTTTGGTAGCTGTCTTGTGTGTCTCATATATGTTATGTTGGGAAGGTGCAGATGATATGTGTTAGGTACTGGTCGGGCGTTTTGTGTGTGACACCCTTTTAATCGTGGGGCATGCAATCTCCCTCAGTTTACAAACGCATTTTCAATGTTCAAAGCTCGATTTCTCCACAGTAGAAAGGGCGGCGATGCCAAAAATGGAAACGTTAGAGCCGGCTCGTCGAGATCTTTCCGAAAACGCATCGTTTCATTTGATTTTAGCACCCTCTTCGTCGAGGAGTAATCGAGCTTTGAAATCGGTCCGGCGGGTGTGGTATCTTACGTCATGTCACCTGTGGTACATACGTACAGCACAGGTGTACACCCGAGGTCCTAAATCGCAACGGGGAACGTTCACTTTTCACCTCTGAATTTGGATGAAGGATCGCCATGTATTTTTGGTCTACTACACCGGCACCGCGAGGTGCTTCTGACCAATTTGTTCCTCCTCGCAGAACATTCGTTCTGACGCCGTCAATGCTGCCGGCAAGACAGAAGTTAAACTTCAAGAGAGTCAGTCGTTCACCTAAGGTATAATTTTCTTAATAATAACACAACAAACCATCTCTATCCATGTAGCTAAGGGTCTACAATTTTTCTGTTTTTCATGTACGGACGTTGCTCGTCAGCCACGTATGATAGCGTACATACTTACATAACCGTATTGATGAGTTAACGGCCTGCTTCCCCATGACCGAGAAAAAACACTATTTACCACACACTGGAATAAAAAAGAGATGAAAAACCGCCACATCGGAAATCAATGTCGGTTGATGCTGTGCGCGCATCAGCACACCTAATCGCTGCGCGCATGGCCTAACACTACGCACATAAATGCTACGCGTGCTATTAAGGTCTCGTAGCTACATATCCATTTCAGGCACCATCAGCTGCTCGCTCCGCTGCTTGGTCGAGTGCCCTTTCAACGAAAACAAACCTGCGCTAACACACATAGCCAGCCTCCTCACCAAAAAACGCATCCTCTCTCAGGCTTCGGTGTCGCACCAACAGCAGCGGAGCAAAAACCGTACGTACCATATTTTCTATGTCCACGAAACTTCCGCCCTTTCCTAAAAACCTCCGCCCTTCCCTTCAGGCATGTACGTACGATGTAGACATGCAAGACACTAAACTAGCGATGACCAAAAGACCAACGACCACGAATAAAACCACATAGCTAGCTGCGAACATGCGCTTTAACACGGACCGTATACATAGCACAGGTAAAGTCACAGGATAAAAAGACAAACAAACGGGTTCCGACATGAAAAATAGTACCCACATAAAAAAATACCATTCCAAGTTATAGACTGCGCACCAGAGAATAATTCAACAAAGTAGAACCCCTCGCATCATTTCCTTCAAAAGAGGTATGGAGGGGGGTTCGCAGGAGGAGTGTGGAACTCCCGGCGGGGAGCACGAATACGGCACGCTCACTCACAAACATTCATCTTTTACCCAAAACAAGAAACCGCAGGAAAAACCGACCGTTCTTGCACGTACTCTGTACAAGAAAGGGCAAACACGCAAGCGCATCTATCCTCCTTTGTCTCTTCGAGACAACAAGTTGAACAAGCCACCACCCGCTCGCGGGGTGATCCTATGCGCACGCTAAGGGGTTCCGGCAACACAAACATATCACCCTCATTTTCTCTCTCTATTCGAATAACAAGTCGCCCATCCAGGGGGGGGGGGGGGGGGGCCCCCAAAAGGGGCCCGAAAGGGCCCCACAGGGCGGCCAACCCCGGGGTTTTATGTCTTTGCAACGGGGACCAAAAACAACCCCGGGGAAAAAGCCCCCCCCCTTTTTTTCCCCCGCCCCGGAAAAAAAACCCCCACCCAAAACGAGTGGGGAAAGGAAAAAAAAAAACCCCAAAACCCCCCAAAAACCGGGGTATTTAGCAAAACTAAACCCCCCCTGACCCAAAAACCCCACAAAAAAAAAGTCGCCCCCCGCCCACCCGACAGGGGAAGCTGCAACCAGGGGTCCCGCGAGGGAAAACCCCGGGGGCT